CTAAACCAAAACCCAGAAAATTCAAGTTCAAGTTCAACGGATGTTTTCGATGCGGCGGAAACCATGAAGAACAAGCACACTGTCCAGCTATCAACGCAATATGTAAATTCTGCAAAAAGAAAGGACATTACTTCAAAGTCTGTATGAAAAGAAAAGTAAAGCAACTACATGAAATCGTCGACGATCCGAACTACGAAGGTCAAGATATACATGTGCAGCCCGACGACGTTGCAGAGTACCCTAGCAATACTTACACTTACGAGGAAGAAGGTTCCAGCGACACTGAGCCAATTACCGTGACATTAGGTTCTGTTTCAACCGAAAACACAGTACATAATGTGAGCAGCCACAAGAACAGAATATATAAACATGTTAAACTTAATGACAAATGTRACGTCATCATGAAAATAGACACTGGAGCGGACACTTGCATACTTACAACCGACGATCTCCAGGTACTACCAATCTCCATCAACTTAGAACCATCGGACAGCATCTTGAGGGGGTATGGGGGATCCAAGATACAAAACCTTGGAGTAACAACGTTAAAAGTCACTTACAACAACAAATCAATCGAGACAAAATTCAACGTAGTTGAAGCACCTGGTAACCCTTTAATGATAGGATGCAAGCAAGCTCAGGACCTTGAAATAATAACAGTAAATATTGAGCACCTTAACTCTATCAACGAGCAAAACACGAAACCATCAAGAGCATATCAAGCTGCGCAGAAAGRCGAGCTTTCGAGATCAATCGTTAAAGAAGACTTCAAAGATTGTTTCGACAAGGTAGGACGCTTTCCAGGAGAAAAGTATCACATTCAACTCATTGATGACCCTAAGCCGGTTATCCATCCTCCACGAACAGTCCCAGTGCACATATTACCACTTTACAAGGCAGAACTAGATAACATGATCAAAGACGACATCATCGCAGAAGTGACTGAGCCAACGGAGTGGGTCAACTCTATAGTCTGCAACGTACGCACAACCGAAGACGGAAAGCAAAAAGTACGACTATGCTTAGACCCTAAGGACTTAAACCAGAGCATACGTCGTGAACATTACTACAGCAGGACCATAGACGAAGTACTACCGCAACTACATGGAAAGCAATACTTCTCCGTAGCTGACACG